CCGAATTCCCGATTAAAATGTTGATTTGTGGTTGGGTTGTGTGGGTTGTGGGCTTTTAAAATGAAAAATGAGCTTAATTTATAGGTTATCTAGTCAAAACTTACTAACTCAAAATGAGAAACCCAAAAGGAAATAGGTTAAAAGTTCAGCTGTCAAACAGAAGGTAAAATCGAGATTTTACCTGATTTCACTTGATTTCACGATAAAATCTAGATTTTACCGTGAAATCCCCAGATTTTATGAATTTCAAATTTTAGTATAGATTTTATACGAAATGTTTTGCTGAAATCGTAAAATCGTAAGATTTTAAGATTTAAGTCTAGGTTTTGATAATAATGTATATATCACATGGGAGGACGGACGTACCCAAAATTCATCCCAATTCAAAAAGGCAAAAAGGATAAAAGGGAAACAAGCCATCATTCTTTTTCTCCATAAGCTCTTGCTTGCTCAACTTTGAAAAAGATGATAGAAAAAGGTATAGGCAAGAATCTATCTCTACATGATTGCTTTAGATTTGCGTTCAAGATTTGGATTGAAAAAGATATTACAATTATGGCTAGGTATCTACCGTTTTACGAGTTTAATTCCAATAAAAATTTAATGATTAAATTAAGAAAATCTTATTTATCTACTTTAATTATATTAGATTATAAAATAAAATTTTTTAATAAAAAATTTTTAATATTAAGAACTCAATTTAACTTATTAAATTAAGAGAATTTTATTCATTGTTTTAATTGTATTATATTATAAAATAAAGATTTTTTTTATTTTGATTGCATAATTTGAAGCAATTATCTCACATATCTTATTTCATCACTTTCATATGTTATGCGATTCGAATTTAAAATTTTTTACTTTCAATAAAAAAATAATCATTAAGTTATTTAGGTAATTAACATAAAATAAAGATTTTTAAATGAGAAAAATCTCTAATATCAAGAACTTAATTTTATTTAATAATAAATATTGTATAATTTAAATTATACATCATTTTTTTCTTAAATTAATTGTTCACATCTTTTATGTAGTTAAATGACTTAGTTATCAAAACAAATGGACAAATTCACGTCTTCTTAGAGCCTCACTTGAATTACCAAACATCATCAACAATTTATTATATGTATGTAAATCAAAGACTTTAAGATTGCTGAGTGCGTTTGGTGGAGCTTAAAACTTAAAAATTAAAAATTGTCTAATTTTTAAGTAAATTGCTTTTTAAATTCCGTCAAACACCTTCTGCTCACTGTACGTACCGAAAATCACGGAGGGGCAATTGTGTAAAACAAACAATCGGGGACACTTCGATTACATATTTTCACGTCCAACTCGTCGTAACCACAAAAAACGGCGTCAGAGATAACGGCGTTAGGTGCGATATTTTTAAACGGGACGTGGTCGGGTGTCCGTGTAAGCAATATGACTGAGGTGGGCCCCACAAGGCCCACAAGCCGTCCTATCCTTTAGAACCATAAAATTATAAATTAAAAAAAGAGAGAGAGAGAGAGACAAAACAAGTGACAAGTGAACATCCTTTCCACCATCCTGATTTCGACACGTGTACGTGCCCTTGCCGCTGGCTATTCCACGTGTGGATTCTCCGATTGGCAGAGTCGCAATGAGACCTTTGTAAGAAAACCGGCTGATTCGTCTTTCACGTCTTAATATTTAGATTTAATTAGTTAAAAGTTTAATATTTATTATTTATTTTTTTGGGTATTAATATTTAAATTTAATTTGTAAAAACTTTAATCACATTTTAATATTTAAATTTAATT